GTGGGGGGACTTCCTTGATAGCCCAGTGTCTCAGACTGTGCACTCCCAATGCAGGGAGCCCAGGTTTGAAACCTGGTCAGGGAACTAGATCCTAGCATGTGGCAGCTAAGAGCCCATGTGATGCAACTGAAGCTCAGAGATCCTGCCTGCTGAGGCTAAGAAGCAGTGCAGCCAAATAAATAAATAAATCTTTTAAAAATAAAGAAATAAGGTGGAGTTTATGGTTATTTGTTTCTGTAGCTCAATAATTTTATCAAAGATCCAGATTATTTGGTCTATCTGATTTGCCATCCACAATATTGTATTTATCCTAAAGTTGGCTTTTATGACAATAAGATGGCTGCCAACTACAATCTGAATATGGATTTTCTTTTTTTTATTCTTTTTTTAAATGCATTTATTTATTTTTTAATTGAAGGATAATTGCTTTACAGAATTTTGTTGTTTTCTGTCAAACCTCAGCATGAATCAGCCACAGGTAAACATATATCCCCTCCCTCTTTTTCCTCCCTCCCATGATTTTAATATTATTTTATTTATTTATTTATTTTTCATTTATTTTTGTTAGTTGGAGGCTAATTACTTTACAATATTGTAGTGGTTTTTGCCATACATTGACATGAATCAGCCGTGGATTTACATGTGTTCCCCATCCCGATCCCCCCTCCTGCCTCCCTCCCCATCCCATCCCTCTGGGATGCTGGTGCATCCCTCCCCAGTGCACCAGCCCCAAGCACTTGTATCACGCATCCAACCTGGGCTGGTGATCTGTTTCACCCTTGATAGTATACTTGTTTCAATGCTGTTCTCTCAGAACACCCTACTCTTGCCTTCTCCCACAGAGTCCCAAAGTCTGTTCCATACATCTGTGACACGTGCACCCCAGTGTTCATCGCAGCACTGTTTATAATAGCCAGGACATGGAAGCAACCTAGATGCCCATCAGCAGACGAATGGATGAGGAAGCTGTGGTACATATACACCATGGAATATTACTCAGCCATTAAAAAGAATTCATTTGAATCAGTTCTAATGAGATGGATGAAACTGGAGCCCATTACACAGAGTGAAGTAAGCCAGAAAGATAAAGACCAATACAGTATACTAATGTATATATATGGAATTTTAAAAGATGGTAACGATAACCCAATATGCAAAACAGAAAAGGAGACACAGATGTACAGAACAGACTTTGGGACTCTGTGAATATGGATTTTCATGTCTATGGGCAGTGGGAGAGAGTGGCTTACCCAACTGTTTTGTTCTTCTTTGTTTGTTTGTTTGTGTTTTAAAGGAAGCCCATCCCTGTGGTCTGACTCGGACAGTTTAGTAAACTGCCTATTCCTATATCAATAAGCTTACTGGGAATGCCACATTCTGATTGGCTTAGCTCTATATTCCTAAACCAGTCTCATATTAGTTATCTATTGCCACATAACAAATTACCCTTAAACTTCCTGCCTTAAAAGAACAATGAATATTTATGATCTCTCAAGGTTTCTGTGGGTCAGGAGCAACTTAGCTGAGCTGTGCTGTGAGCTCAGGATCTCACATGAAGGTCCAGCCAAGCAGTGAGGTGCAGCTGCACTCCTCTGAAAGCTCAACTGAGGCGGGAGGACTCCTTCCCAAGGTGACTTCCTCACATGGCTGATGCCTCAGTTTCTTTCTTCAGGGTCCTTTCCACGAGGCTGCTTGAGCAGCCACACAACATGGTGACTGGCTTCCCCCTGAATGGCTGACTCAAGAAGGAGAGTACAGGACTTCCCTGCTGGTCCAGAGGTTAAGAATCTGCCTGCCAATGCAGGGGACACGGTTCGATCCCTGGTCCAGGAAAATTCCACATTTCATGGGGCAATTGAGCCTGTGTGCCGCAGCTACGGAGCCTGCGCTCCATAGTGAGAGGCTTGTGAGCTGCAGCTGGAGAGTGGAGGCCACTCTCCACAACTGGAGAAAGCCCATGCTCAGCCATGAAGACCCAGCACAGCCAAAAATAAAAATATAAATTATTAAAAAAAATTAAAAGGAAAGTACAGAGTAGAAACTGTGTTCCTTCATGGCACATAGCATCTCTGTCATCATATTCTACTTGTTAGATGTGAGTCACAATAGAAAAGAAACTCTTTTTCCCAATATGTAATTTCAACCAAAGCTGCAGGATTATTTCGTGTTAGATTGCCTGGGTCATTATCACTCTGATCAAACCTGGGTCTTGTACCAGCCCTTAGAGCTGAGAGGCTGGGTCAGTACAATCTGAAACACATGAACTGAAAGTGGGGGAGATATATACCCTCTCCAAAATCAGGGTATTGTTATCAGAAGAAGAAGGAATAGATACTGGACAAGACAAAATAAAAAATGTCAAATACAGTGCCTCTGTGTAACTTGAAATTGTTAGTGTGCTTTGCTTTTAGGGGAAAAAAGTAATTTCAAGAAAAAACAAGTTTAAAGGTTTTAACAGTGGTTATCTCTGCATGGTAGAATTATAGTAAAATTTTCCCTAGTTTTCTATTTTATTCCAAGTTTTCTTTCATGGGTATGTCTTTTATAATCAGAAAATAAAAACTATTATTTTATAAAAGACAAAATTTGCCACAGGAAGAATGGAAATAGAATGCAGTGCTGCAAAAATAACAGTAAATTTTTAAAAGCCCTGTATAGCCAAAGTCACAGAGAAAAGAAAAAAAATAAGAATATACAAAGGAAAACATAAAACTTGATTGCTGGAGCAAAATCAGATATACCAGTAATTAATACATGAATTCTTTTTAAAGGTAAATTCCAGTATGGATGTTATATTGATCACAAAAATGACATAGAATTGTTGAGAGCAAAGTAGAAATCACATCTCTACACAACCATCTTTCTCTCTGGGAATAAGACATGTCCCTCCTTTCATTAAAAGCCTCTTTTGCATCTATATTGTTTTGTGGCTTTTCTGACATAGGCCATTCATATTTCTTTGTAGTTATGTAAGTTGTAAATTTTAATGAATAAAGAACATATTCTTTTTAAAAACTAATTAATCAGTTTATTAATTTCCTTGTTGGTTACGCTGGCTCTGCGTTGCTTTGCTTGGGTTTCTTTAGTTGCGGTGGGTGGAGCGCTACACTCTGGTTGCTATGCACAAGTTTCTCAATTGTGATGGCTTCTCTGGTTGCGGGGCTCAGGCTCAGGCTTGCAGGCTTCAGTAGTTGTGGCTCCTAGGCTCAAGAGCATAGGTTTAGTAGTTGTGACATAAGGACTTAGTTGCTCCAAGGCACTTGGAATCCTCCCAGACCAGGGATGGAACCCATGTCCCCCGCACTGGCAGGCGGTTTCTTAACCACTGCGCCACCAGGGAAGTCCTATTCTTATTCTTTATTCTTCATCTTTATTCAGTAGTTTATGTTTTCCATGCTTTTATAGTCTTTCTCTCCATTTTGTTTCTTAACTTGTTATAGTTTGCATACAGGAAAGTCACTGCTACTACTGGCAGGAACGTAAATTAATAGAGTATTAAATATTTTCCAGATAGTCAAATCTACAGGAAGGAAGATAAGACCGTCAGGAGTTGTTAAGTAAGCAGGAAAATATAAAAGACTGTTTTCTTTCTTATAATTTGCTTAAAAGACAATAACTGCTACAAACAGAACAAAAAAAATGTAAGGAAGGGCCTGTGATAAGTGTCCCAGGGAAGGATAAGACAACAATCAGATTCAGTATAAAAGAGCAGGTGAATTTACTGGTAAATTTTTTATTGTAAAGTTGCTTCATTGTAAAGTAGGAAGTGTCAGATAAGTAGGGATAAGGACTGAATAGAAAGTTCAAAGTGGGAAGTATGGAGAAGTATTGACTCTAAAGAGATTGATAAGTTAAGAATATATATTATTAGGCACTTCCTGGGTGGTCCAGGGGCTAAGACTCTGCACTCCCCATGCAGAGGGCCGAGGTTCAATCCCTGGTCAAGGAACTAGATCCCACATGCCACAGCTAAAAGATCCTGTGTGCTGTGATTAAGACTTGGCACTGCCAGATATATAAATAAATCTTAAAAAAAAAATTATTAGCCTTAGAGGAAACACTAAAAAAGTAATTTTAAAAAAGCTTATAGTTAAGCTAGTAAGAAATAAAATGAAAAATTTTAAATATTAGATTATTCCATTTATAAGAAATTCTAAAACAAAACTAATCAATAGTACTAGAAGATCATATCAATGGTTTCCAGGAGTGGAGTAGTTGGAGAGATTGACTGCAAATGGGGCATCAAGGAACTTCCGGGGAGAAGAAAATGTATACTTTTTGGGGGTGGTGGTTACATACATGTGTACATTTGTCAAAAGTTATCAACTTAAGATATTTCACTTCTATTGTATACAAATTATGCCTTTATAAAGTTGCCATTTTCCAAAGCTTATTATATCTTTGAAGGGTAAATCTACTTGGTGACTTCACTTGTGGTAGACATCTGTAGTTTTTGCTGGCCAGATATCTCTGACCTCATCTTTGGGTATTATCATCTGATTTTACTTTCTTATATAACTACTGGTTTCCTACTTGATACAGTCTTGATGAATAGACATACGTATTGCCTTGTCCCCCTCTGACCAAAGTTGGACACTTGACCCAAGTTAGCCAGTATGACTTTCTGCCCTTGGAATTTTAATCTTGAGTCATGTGATCCAAGGACCAAAAAACAGTTGGAGCTATTTTATCCTGCTAGTGATCAGCCTCTGTGAGATGGTCCATGCCCATCACTGCTTTTGGACCTCAGAGCTTTGGGATCTCAGATTTCTCTCTCTCTTCCTTCATGGGCCCTCTCTGCTACATTGGAATTGTCTACCCCTTTGTGTAACAGGCTGCCAGTGGCCAGTTCTGGGAGGCTGTCCCAGGCTCTTGGGTACACAGAATCATTCTGTTGTTCTGAGAAACTCTTGGGTTGTCCATGGGGTTGCAAAGAGTTGGACACAACCGAGGGACTGAACAAAACATGCCACTCCCGTGTCAAGCTGGGATGCCCTGGGATGTTCTCGAAGGCTCGTCTCCCTGGGTCTATCAAACCGCAGTTCCTGCTGTGTGTTCTTACCCCCTTTCTGGATGCTACTTATGAACGTAGACCCTCTGGGAAATTCCCTGGTGGTCCAGTGGTTAGGGGGGCTTCCCAGGTGTGGCTCAACAGTAAAGAATCCGCCTGCAGTACAAGAGACACAGGAGACACGGATTCAATCCCTGGGTTGGGAAGATCCCCTGAAGGAGGGCATGGCAACATGCTCCAGTGTTCTTGCCTGGAGAATCCCGTGGACAGAGGAGCCTGGCGGGCTACACTCCATGGGATCGCGAAGAGTCAGACACGGCTGAAGCAACTGAGCACGCACTCACCCAGTGCTTAGGGTTCTGTGCTCTCACTGCCGAGGGCCTGGGTTCGACTCCTGATAGGGAAGATTCCACAAGCTGAGCAGCATGGCCAAAAATAAAGAATAAATAAAAAGGAAAGTAGACCCTCTGCCTTCAAGTCCCTTCAAATATTTTTTTCATTTTTACTCTGGGATCCATGCAGGGGTTTGGAGACAAAGGTCTTCAGCTACCTATTTAATATTCAATGAGTGTGAAGTGGTATTAAAACATTTTTGTATTTCACAAAAATTCACAATACAGTGATCAGCTAGCCCAATAAGAAGACAATGTATTAAATATACAGCTGAAGACAATAAAGTTATGTTGGAAAAAATGTTTAGGCAATACATATCTAGAGCCTTTAAAAAGTACAAATTCCACCTTAATTTATAGATGTTTCCTCACCTATTTAAATAGATATATGTATAAAGATGTTCCTACAAATTCACACTTATTAGGATGACTATCAAAAGTGGAAAATTACAAGAGTGAAGATGTGGAAAAATTGGAACCCTTGTGCAGGTCCAGGGTTAGGAATTCACCTAGCAATGCAGGCGATCCAGGTTCGATCCCTGATCAGGGAACTAAGATCCCACATGCTGCAGATCAACGAAGTTCAAGCACCACAACTAGAGAGTCTGTGCACTGCAGTGAAAGATTGTGCACGACACACTATTAATAAGACTTAAAAGCAGCCAAATAAATAAATAATTATTTGTTTAAAATAGAATTACTATGTTGCCTTTGTTCAGTCGCTATGTTCGACTCTTTGCGACCCCTTGGACTGCAGCATGCCAGGCCTCCCAATCCCTCACTGTCTCCTGGAGTGTGCCCAAGCTCATGTCCATTGAATCGGTGATGCTATCCAACCATCTCATCCTCTGCTGCCCTCTTCTCCATTTGCCTTTAATCTTTCCCAGCATGAGTGTCTTTTCCAGTGAGTGGGCTATTCACATTAGGTGGCCAAAATATTGGAGCTTTAGCTTCAGCATCAATCCTCCCAATGAATATTCAGAATTGATTTCCTCTAGAATTGACTGGTTTGATCTCCTTGCAGTCCAAGGGACTCTCAAGAGTCTTCTCCAGCATCACAATTTGAAAGCATCAATTCTTTGGCACTCAGCCTTCTTTATGGTCCAACTCTCACATCTATACATGACTACTGGAAAAACCATAGCTTTGACTATACGGACCTTTGCTGTCAACGTAATGCCTCTGCTCTTTAATACACTGTCTAGATTTGTCATTGCTTTCCTTTCAAGAAGCAAGCAACTTCTAATTTCATGGCTGCAATGATTCTGGGATCTCTCCAGGAAGAGAAAATCTGTCACTGCTTCCACTTTTCCCCCTCATCTTTGCCTTAAAGTGATGGGACTAGATGTAGGATGTTAGTGTTTTGAATTTTGAGTTTTAAGCCAGCTCTCCTCTTTTACCCTCATCAAGAGGCTCTTTAGTTCTTTGCTTTCTGCCAATAGAGTGGTTTTATCTGCATATCTGAGGTTGCTGATATTCTCCCATCAATCTTGATTCCAGCTTGCAACTCATCCAGCCCAGCATTTAGCATATAAATTTAGCAGGGTGACAGTATACCACATTGTTGTACTCCTTTCCCAATTTGGAACCAGTCAGTAGTTCCATGTAAGGTTATAACTGTTGCTTCTTGACCAGCATACAGGTTTCTCAGGAGACAGGTAAGATGGTCTGGTATTCCCATCTCTAAAAATTTTCCACAGTTTGTTGTGAACCACACAAAGGCTTTCGTGTAGTCAATGAAACAGAAATAGATGTTTTTCTGGAATTCCCTTGCTTTCTCTATGATCTAACAAATACTGGCAATTTGATCTCTGATTCCTCTGCCTTTTCTAAACCCAGCTTGTACATCTGCAAGTTCTCAGTTCAAGTACTGCTGAAGCCTAGCTTGAAGGATTTTGAGCATAACCTTACTAGCATGGGAAGTGAGCACAAGCGCCCAGAAGTTTGAACATTCTTTTGTACTGCTCCTCTTTGGAACTGGGATGAAAACTGGTCTTTTCCAGTCCTATGGCCACTGCTGGGTTTTCCAAATTTGCTGACATATTGAGTGCAGCACTTTAACAGCATCGTCCTTTAGGATTTAAGTAGTTCAGCTGGAATTCCATCACCTCCATTTGTTTTGTTGGTAGCAATGCTTCCTAAGGCCCATTTGACTTCACATTCCAGGATGTCTGGCTCTAGGTGAGTGATCACACCATCGTGATTTTCAGGTCATCAAGGTCTTTTTTGTACAATTCTGTGTTTTCTTGCCCTGTCTTAATCTCTTCAGCTTCTGTTAGGTCCATACTGTTTCTATCCTTTATCATGCCTATCCTTGCTGAAATGCATCTTTGATATTATGGAGATCATTCTGTCATTTTTGAGGTTGCACCCAAGTACTGCATTTTGGACTTGATTATGAGGGCTACTCATTTCTTCTAAGGGATTCTTGCCCACAGTAGTAGATATAATGGTCATCTGAATTAAATTCACCCATTCTCATCCATTTTAGTTCACTGATTCCTAAAATATCGATGTTTACACTTGCCATCTCCTGCTTGACCACGACCAATTTACCTTGATTCATGGACCTAACATTCCAGGTTCCTATGAAACATTGTTCTTTAGAGCATGGGATTTTACTTTCACCACCGGACACATCCACAACTGAGTGTCGTTTCTGCTTTGGCCTAGCTGTTTCATTCATTCTGGAGCTATTAGCAATCGCCCTCTGCTCTTCCCCAGTAGCATATCGGACGCCTTCCAACCTGGGGGGCTCATTTTTTGGTGTCATATGTTTTTGCCTTTTTATACTGTTCATGGGGTTCTGGCAGCAAGAATACTGGAGTGGTTTGCCATTCCCTCCTCCAGTGGACCACATTTGGTCAGAACTCTCCACTATGACCCATCCGACTTGGATGGCTCTGCACAGCATGGCTCATAGCTTTACCGAGTTATGCAAGTGCCATGACAAGGCAGTGATCCATGAAGGGGAGAATTACCATATGATCCAGCAATTCTACTCCTAGGCATACACCCAGAAGAATTGAAAACAATGACTCAAACAGATGCTTGTATACTCTGGTCATAGCATTATTCACAATTGCCAAAATGTGAAAACAACCCAGATGTCTATGAACTAATGAATGGATAAACAAATGTGGTATATATATACGATTGAGTGTTATTTAACCTTGAAAAGGAACTGAATTCTGATACAAGCTATAACATGGATGAACCTTGAAAACATGCTAAATGAAATAAGCCAGACACAAAAGGACAAAAATTGTATTATTCTACCTGTATGAGGTACCTAGAATACGTGAACTCATAGAGACAGAAAACAGATTAGAAGTTACCAGGGGCTGAGAAGAGAAGGAAATTAGGGGATTATTGTTTAATTGGTACAGAGTTTTTGAGAGGGTGAAAAAGTTTTGGAGGGGTAAAGTTGATGGTTGCAAAATAATCAGTGTACTTATTGCCAACACATTGTACATTGAAAATGGTTAAAATAGTAAGTTTAATGTTTTATATATTTCACAACATTATTTTAAAAGGAAAAAGAAACTATTTTAAAGTGTGTGCTTTTCAAAGTATGAGTTTAAAGGAAGTAAATTTTTGGAAGCAGTGAACTCTGTGTTTTTCCCCTCCAAAAGAGAAGTAGGAAGACCTATTCATTTATTAATATAATTACTGAGTGCTCACCCTATGTCTGCAGTAGACTTGGTATCTGAAACGCACAATATGGTCTAGTCCTTAAGAAGCTTACAGGCCTGCTGGGGAGATGGCATCCACACATGATATAATTAAATTGTAACATATCATTATAAGGGATGTCTCATGGCAGTTTATAATGTGATCTTTTAATTTTCCTTTTCTCTTGAATTATACATTCTTCTTCTCTTTTGATATATTCATTTTACTCTCTCATACTTAACTATCTTCAAAAATTATCAGGTTTTTCCCCCAGTCTTGAAACCTATCCCAAGTCTGCCTGTGTATATTATAGAAAACTCATCCTTAAAAATTCAAAACTGGACCCAAACTCTCGGTATGTTGTTAAGCTCAGTAGATGACCTCACCACATATTTTGTCTTCTAAGTTAAAAATCTGTATCATTTGTATATTTGGACTAAACAGTGGGGTGGGGAGTTGGATGTGGTTGGAATGCACTTAGGAAGGCTGATCAGATGGCTACATGAGGTGGTTACATGACTATATCACTTTGCATTTACTTTCCTCCTATTTTCTATCTCATTGAGAAAGTTAAAACTTTTTACTGTTCCAGATAAAGAACCACAACTCTGTTTCAAAATTTTGCATGTATTTTAAGCATTCTGATAATTAGAAAATTTCCTAGAAATTGGAGCTATAGTGTCAAGGTGAAATGAACTCACCTATAATTGCTCAAGTAAATCTGTTCATTATCCTGTGAACTTCACTGCAACTGAAAGTGCTTTGATTGACCTGTTTTAGAACTTTTATGTAACTTTTACATCCAAAATCAAGTCATTATCTCCTTACTTCTCTTATAACATCCCAAGGAAACTCTATCACAGTGTTTCTCACATTGTATTGTGATTATGGATTATGTGTCTGTCTTTTCAAGAATGACCCTTAAACTTTTATTCTGTATTGGACCAGCATTAGCAGCAAAATACAAAACCACTCATACCTTCTATGCTGATTCTCTACTTCTTTCCTTTTTATGTTTAATTTTTAAAAAATAATTGATTCATTTTTAATTGAAGGATAATTGCTTTACAATATTGTGTAGGTTTCTGCCAAACATCAACATGTGATTCTCTACTTCTGATTGTCAGGGTAAGTAGGCAGATTTCGTGGGGCTTTAAGGGGGCTTCCTCAAAATAAGGACTGGCAAATGATAGGTTATATTTTCTATTGCTCTTAGGGCCAATATTAATGAACACAGTAGAGAACAAAATTGGGGGAGCATCTTAGCAAGTAGCAGTTCGGATTAATTTTGGAGACAAGAAACCACATGTAGCAGGCAGGATGAATTTAAAGAGGCCCAGACAAGATGGATCGTAACCATGAACATGTACAGAAAAACGCTTTTGAGTTTTCTGCAGATATGGATAATGGTACAAAAAGATGAGAACGGGGCAGAATTTCCTACCTGCATTGTGTCCCCAAGTGATAAGAACTTGTTGGAAAGCCTTGCTCTGTTCTTTGGTGGTTGCAAGTTATAGGATCCAGTCACTTTGCCTCTGTAATGTGTGGTGCCATAGGTGTGTCTTGATGACTATTTATGAGGACCATGTGATTGTTGGTTTGTGGTTGATGGGTGTTGACTATGTGGATTTAGACTTGAAGGCCTCTGAAAAAGCCTCTACAAATTTAGCACAAGAGTCATTATCTCAGGCTTCCCTGGTAGTCAAGTGATTAAGAACTCACCTGCCAAGGCAGAGGACACAGGTGCAATCCCTGGTCTGGGAAGATACCACACGCCGCGGAGCAACTAAGCCCATGAGCCACAACTACTGAGCCAGTAGCTCTAGAGCCCACGAGCCACAGCTACTGGACTTGCGAAACTAGAGCCAGTGCTCCGCAATAAGAGAAGCCAAGGCAATAAGAAGCCCGCACATCGCAACTGGAGACTGCCCCTGCTCGCCGCAACCAGAAAGCCTGCATGCAGCAACCAAGACCCAGTGCAGCCAAAAATAAAATAAATATCTTTAAAAAAAAAAAAAGGAAAAAATCCTTGTCTCCATTCTGATACTTACGGTTAGGCAGTTCACTCTTACAGGTAGTGTAGCATAGCCATTGTCAGAAAATTAAGAAAATTGTCCAACATAGGATATGAATTGTCTCATTCTCGTGAATGAATCCGTATGTTTAGTAATGTATAGTTCTGAGAGGGAATAGGTTGATTATGGAGTCTACTAAGTGATGGGTTTCTGGGAACTGTAGGGGATTGGAATGGGGTGTTCCAGTGACCTGCTGTGAAATAACCACTACAACCTTAATGATATAAATGAAGAACCATCTTATTATGTTTCTGTGGGTCAGGATTTCAGAGCAGAGCAAGGATACTTGTCTCACTTAGCTTACTGATGCCTGGACCCTCATCTGAAAAGACTGAGAAGGCTGTTCAGTTCAGTCGCTCAGTTGTGTCCGACTCTTTGCGACCCCATGAACCGCAGCACACCAGGCCTCCCTGTCCATCACCAACTCCAGGAGTCCACCCAAACCCATGTCCATTGTGTCGGTGATGCCATCCAACCATCTCATCCTCTGTTGTCCCCTTCTCCTCCCACCCTCAATCTTTCCCAGCATCAGGGTCTTTTCAAATAAGTCAGCTCTCTGCATCAGGTGGCCAAAATATTGGAGTTTCAACTTCAACATCAGTCCCTCTAATGAATACCCAGGACTGATTTCCTTTAGGATGGACTGGTTGGATCTCCTTGCAGTCCAAGGGACTCTCAAGAGTCTTCTCCAACACCACAGTTCAAAAGCATCAATTCTTTGGTGCTCAGCTTTTATAGTCCAACTCTCACATCCATACATGACCACTGGAAAAACCATAGCCTTGACTAGACGGGCTTTGGTGACAAAGTAATGTCTCTGCTTTTTAATATGCTGTCTAGGTCGGTCATGACTTTTCTTCCAAGGAGCAAGCGTCTTTTAATTTCATGGCTGCAATCACCATCTGTAGTGATTTTGGAGCCCAGAAAAATAAAGTCAGCCACTGTTTCCACTGTTTCCCCATCTATTTGCCATGAAATGATGGGACCGGATGCCATGATCTTAGTTTTCTGAGCGTTAAGCTCTAAGCCAACTTTTTCGCTCTCCTCTTTCACTTTCATCAAGAGGCTCTTTAGTTCTTCACTTTCTGCCATAAGGGTGATGTCATCTGCATATCTGAGGTTATTGATATTTCTCCTAGCAATCTTGATTCCAGCTTGTGCTTCTTCCAGCCCAGCGTTTCTCATGGTGTACTCTGCATATAAGTTAAATAAGCAGGGTGACAATATACAGCCTTGACGGACTCCTTTTCCTGTTTGGAACCGGTCTGTTGTTCCATGTCCAGTTCTAATTGTTGCTTCTGACCTGCATACAAGTTTCTCAAGAGACAAGTCAGATGGTCTGGTATTCCCATCTCTTTCATAATTTTCTACAGGAAAGGCTGAAGGTAACTCAAATGTCTTGGTGGTGGTGGTTTAGTTGCTCAGCTGTGTCCAACTCTTGCAATCCCATGGACTGTAGCCGATCAGGCTCTTCTGTCCCTGGGAATCTCCATGCAAGAATGCTGGAGCAGGTTGCCATTTCCATCTCCAGGGGATCTTCCTGACCCAGGAATCAAGCCCAGGTCTCCTCCATTGCAGGCAGGTTCTTTACCAGCTGAGCTGTGAGGGAAGCCCAACTCAAATGTCTTAGGATTGAGAAATCATGTGGCGGTTTCTTCATGGAAACAACTGATACCTGAGCAGGGATGACTCAAAGGCTGCATTCAGCTGGGGTTGTTGACCAGGAGCGCTTACATGTAGCCTCTCCATGTGGCTTGGGCTTACTCAGAGCACAGTGGCCTCACGGTAGTTCATTTTCTTACAAGGTGGCTCAGGAATCCAGGAGTATTCCAGAGAAGAAGGTAGACTCAGTGTGGCCTTTTCTGGCTTAGCGTCACTTCTGCTGTACTCCATTTGTTGAAGCAGACATAAACCAATCAGATTCAACAGCAAGGTACTTAGATGCCCCCTCCAACATCTCAATGAAGGGAGACATTGCAAGTTAAAAAGGGTTACAGAGACTTCTTTAGCGGTCCAGTGGTTAAGATTTTGGGCTTCCAACACAGAGGGCATGGGTTCAACCTCTGGTTGGGGAACTAAGAGCCCACATGCTGCAGGGCTCAGTCAAAAAAGGAAAAAAAAAAGTTACAATGTGTATTGCCTCTTAGAATTCTTAGGATTTTTGGACCAAGTTCATGTTTCATATAGCTCTGTAGAGTGGAAGGCTTTCTGCCAAATTTGAGGCTACCAGTAGTCAAGGCTTAAAGGCGATTTGGTGGACTGAGGGGATAACCTTGTGATACAAAGGACCTCATCCACCCAAATGTATAGGTGGCCATGACACCTTAGCAGGCCTTTTCTGTCTTCTCTCCTCTGTAGCCAGGAGTGCATGATTCAAGATCTTCTTCTGGCTCTGCTGGTCATAGACGATTACTGTCTTCTTGCTGACAGACAAATCTGATTCTTTTACTACCTTACAGTCTTTTAAGGATTCCCTATCATCTCTAAGATAAAGTCCACGGTCATAAGCATCACATTAGCACCTTCATGATCTGACCTTGACCACTGAAAATTCAGATGCTATGCTATCATCCAAAATATGAAAGGCAGCATTTATATAATTATCGAGTTCAAATACCAGCTCTGCTGGGACTCATTAATTTTCTAGAGTACAACTGAAAGGGTTTCTTCCTTCAATTGAGGGCAGACTGCAACAAAAATGGCCTAGTTTTCCACTTTCTCCTCTGTTCAGCCAGTTCACAAGGGCCTGCAAATGGATTCCAATTCTGGAATTAGCACCTTAAGGTAAGGATTGGTTGTTTATATGAAATTAAAATAACTGGGTATTTGCATTTACTTGCCAATTCTGGTAACCCTACGTTAAGGCCAACCCCAGCTTTCCCTGGTTCACTGATTACAGAGTAAATGCTGGTATAGACCGAGAAGAGGACTAAGTGTGTTTGTTTCCTTCCTTCTCACCAAACTATTTAACCTTTTAACATTGACATACCGGGGTGAACTGGAAGAGCCACTTCCAATTCTTTAAGCTCTAAATGTCAGCACGTTATTATCATTGTTGTTTTCAGGTTTTACATTGCTATAGCATGACTATGAGACCGACAGTGTCACTAATTACGACAATTTCCTTAAACTGGAGCAGAAATATGTTGCATGAAGTCTTGAAATCTAAGACACGGGAAATTAAGTTACATAAGTAGCAGATGTTCAGGCTGAGGATGGAAGAGAGCTGTAACAAGAACTCTCAATTATTTCTCCCCTGAGGCTGGGACTAGAACTAAGGGAGAAAGTTGAAATCTTTCTTTCTGTTTTACCAGTAAGTCACATCACGGCCACCACTTAGCCCTTTATCTCTCATCACTATTTGTAATTCCATAATCAGGCTAACCGCCGCACCAGATTTTTCTAAAGTAGTTCTCTCCACCCCCCGCCCCCCGGTAAATTTCATCAGGAAAAAGAAACAGTAAAGTTCAAACAGTGCAAATGGTTACACAATGCAAGTCTCCCTTTCATCCTGATCCCTAGTTCTAAGCCGAAGGTTCCTAACTCGATTTAGGAACTGGAGCCGAAGGGAATGTTTCCAGAGCAATGTGAATCCCTGAACGCGCGATCTTCAGTGGACTGATAATTGTGTATCCAAACTTTTGCCTGCATTTCGAAAGGGTTCTGAGAACTCCCGAAGAAGGACTGGCTGAAAGGAGAGATGAAGCTGGAGGCTCGGCAGCAGCTGGTAAAAACCTGTCATAACTCGTCCCAGCGAAAAAAAGTTCCCCCCTCAACCACCCAACCCTGGCCCCCAAGGAAAAACTCTGTTCCCCGTGGGCGGGATCACGGATCTACCCTTCCCGAGTTTCTTCCCTGCCGCATTCCTGCCCTCCGGCGCGTCGTCGTGGGCTGACGTCACGCCGCCGCGCGCGCGCAGTCCCGCCCCTGCAGAGCTCGGCGCTGGGACGGAGCCCAGGGTGTTCGCAGACCCGGAATGTGAGGCCTCGGCGCGGCTGGCCCCGCTTCCCTGGCGAGTTCTCCCCCCTCCCCGGGCCTGCGCCCGCCGCCCGCAGCTCAGCCGGGAGGAGTCAGGGCGGCCGCGCCCTTCTGCCGTGTGCCCGCGTGGCCGCCGCCGCCGCCGCCGCCCCTGCCGCCCCTCGGATTCCTCCGGGGCCGCTGAGGAGTTCGCTACGGAGGGAGGCGGGGGCCTTCGGGAGGAGGAGGCGGAGGAGGCGGAGGAGGCGGAGGGAAGGAAGATGGCGGCCGTGGAGCTCGAGTGGATCCCAGAGACTCTGTATAACACGGCCATCTCCGCTGTGGTGGACAACTACATCCGCTCCCGCCGCGACATCCGCTCCTTGCCCGAGAACATACAGTTCGACGTGTACTACAAGGTACGGGCCGTGGGCGACGGGCCGTGGGCCTGCTCTTCCCGCCGCAGCCCCTGGGGCCGCACCCCCTTCCACGTCCGCGAACCCCCGCGTTTAACCCCTCACCCCTCGTAGTGGGATCGGCGCCCCGAGACCTCTGGGGCGGTGCCGGGCTGTCCGGTGTAGAAACGCTCCATCTGCTATCTTCGTGTTTCAAGCTCTCGGGCCTTGATGGATACCTCTTCGCAGTGAGACCCCCCCCCCCCCCCCCCCGCTTTTGGTGTTCCCTCGTACCTCGGGGCCCCTCTGGGTAGGCCTCTCGCGTGGACTTCCTCTATTGCGCCCTTGTCCTACTCAGTCCTTGCCTTCCAGCCTGTGACTTCGGGAATATTTTCTGCCCTCTTTTCCCAGTTAAGTGTCAGCATCAGCTGGACTTATTATTATTATTTTTTTTTTTTTGCTTTTCCACCCTCCTTTATGCCTTCTCTCTCGTGCCTCCTTCGCAAGTATTTTTCTTTTCTTGCTTCGTGTCACCTTTCTCGTCGGTCATTGGGAGGAAGTTGAGGAATTATTGGAAGTAGTGGTGTGCTTTATTCGCATATCCTTTGAAGCTGTGGTTTTTGTTTGTATTGATCCTTGCGATTGTATAGGCGGTTTTATTAATACGGGAATGGTGATAAACTACCTGAAAGGAAGAAAGTCTTTCTTTTAAAAAAAAAAAAGACAAAAAACACTTTAGAATGTAAATCATGTTCATGTAGTTGAAAGTTGCAATCTTGCAGCATTTCTGAATCGCTCCCCCTCAAAAATCTGAAGAAAAAGTCTCCAAGTTCAGTCTCCAAGGAGGTTCAAGGGTAAGTGTCTTTAGACGTGGACAGTCTTGCAGTGTTTAGAGAGGGAGGAGAACTTTATGGACTCGGAGCCTCCCTTTTCCTCTCCCCCCACATTTGAATGTGAACAGTGGCCTTATTATTCAGTCCTCCTTGCCTTGTAGCCACCCATGCAGAATTTGACCAGAAGTAAAAGTATGATTTATTTTTTAGATCTAAACACTTCCTCTTGATTTGTAAGTTGGCTGGAACATTGTAAACTAAGATTTAACAGATGTGTATGTTCTTACATATATATGGTGTTTTATGGCAGTTGTTTCATTGGGAAGATTGCCCGCTTTCTCCACCCCGGAATATTTTTTCAGAAAGCTGCTGACTTGCTACATTCTGTCTACTAAATCCAGCTGCTTTACACCAGTTTAACAATTTTTACACGCTAGATATTTGGAGAATATTCATTTTGGTCATTTATATTATTATTTGGGGGGGGGGTGGTTAAAGAAAAATCTCCCTTTATTCCAGATCCCTTTGATACATTGATTTACTTTTGTGTGTGTCTAAGGAAGTTTTGTGTATTTAAAATGTATTCCTCCTGAGTTAAGAGTTCTTTCTCAGCCTGGGAATGGCAACTTTGTGTGTGTGGTAACTGTATCCATTTTATTAAATCGTATATTGTAACATTTTACAATTTTTAGAGAAAATCATTGGAAATTTAAAGTACATTCAGTGGTTGAATTTCCTCAAAGTACCTGGATTTCTTCTAGTAACTTTCATTTCTAATGGAAGCTTTTCATTTGAGGATTATTAATAGTGATTGAACAGATGGTGCTTTTTGCCACATTTTGTGTTTCACATAGTCCACAAAGTTTTAATATGGCGTCTTTTGGGTACACATTTTATTCCTTAATAGTTGTCTGCCTGTTGGGAATGTGGCACTGTGCTAAAGAAAAGGACGGTATTTAACATATGCCTGAAATTGTAAGTGCTCTTACACAGTTATTTTGTTTAAGCCTCACAACTTAACTGTAAATTAGGGTATTAACCTGTTTTATAGGTGAGAAAGTGAAGTAATTTAATCAAGGTCTCATACCCAATATTCCTGTTTATCTTGCTTTCTTGCTTACTGTTTCCAGTTTTCTCCAGTTTCCAATTTTCTTCAGTTTATGGTTTCCAAAGAGAAACCCATAATCAGATCCCTCCAGTTGCCCCAACTTCCATCAATAGGCATAGTCACAGACAAAATTACATTATTTGTGCATCAAAAATTCCCCCATCCCGATTCACCGTAGTTCACTGTCACTCTGTTAATTTTTGTCAGTAGCTTCAGGTGCAGCTTTAGGAAATGCGGTTATGGAATAAATAGGAGATGAAGAAGCAGGTGTGCTGACTGCTCCTAAGAAGGGAAGGGAGAGAGAGGGATTGATCTGTAGAAGGGTAAAATGTGAAAGTTGTTAAAAGTTTAAGGATGCTGGTGCTGCTGCTGCTAAGTCGCTTCAGTCGTGTCCGACTCTGTGCGACCCCATAGATGGCAGCCCACCAGGCGCCCCCGTCCCTGGGATTCTCCAGGCAAAAACACTGGAGTGGGTTGCCATTTCCTTCCCCAATGCATGAAAGTGAAAAGTGAAAGAGAAGTTGCTCAGTCGTGTCCGACTCTTAGCGAGCCCATGGACTGCAGCCTACCAGGCTCCTCCGTCAATGGGATTTTCCAGGCAAGAGTACTGGAGTGGGTTGCCATTGCCTTCTCCGAAAGTTTAAGGATGGAAGATGTTAAAATATACTTCTTGTCTGAATGACAGACACCAAAACAGAATGAAAGGTTGAATATACAAATGAGGCAGGAAATAAATTATGGAGCAGAGACCCTGAATAGAGACATTAATTGAATGAACTTTGCCCCTTCTTTCACCATCCATAAATTAAGGTACCAGTCTTACATTGGAGTTGGGGAAAAGACTACTACTTCCTCTAAGACCAGATGGAAAGAGGTAAAGACATAAAGTATAAACATAGGTAAGTTTGCGAAGAATGGTTGTAAGGAATTAGGATAGGATCACTTGCTGACAGTAAGGGACGGTAGTGGCGGCTTTTATGTAGAAAGGCTAAACAGAAGTTGGAATGGCTGCTAAAGTATATAGAAAAGGACGCTCACTAAAAATATGTTTTTTAAAAAATTGACAGAAGATATAAATGGTTCAATAAAACAGTACTCTGCTGAATAATGTCTCTGACTCAGAATGATGTTTCTCTAAGGGCACTCAACGATTTGGGAATAGAAGTAGATAAAGTGAATAGAAAGAATTATGAAATTATATACCAAGTGAAAGCAAATAGAGTGAATGGCTGGGTTCCTCAAAGAATGAAGTTTGTGATCTTTTTATTGAAACTGCTGAATGGTCTGTTTTATATCCTGTTCCAGTGACAGGATTTGCCATAGAGTTAAATTTTGACCAGGTGAAGTGTTTCAGTAATGTGTTTTATTTTTTGTTTTCAGTCTTTAACTTAGTAATTTGGGGGTTTTAAAAATTTTTATTGTACATCTCCTGCTGAAAACCATATGAATGAATTCCTGATTTAGTATTAGAATTGTACTTTTTCTTCTTTTTTTGTGTTTATTTCTATTCTTAGTTATCTTCATCCTCAACTAATATTATCTTTTAAAATTGGCTGGTAACAAATCGAAGAAAAATTTCTTGCAACATATTTGACAACCAAAGAGTTAATGTTTTTTCACATTAAAAAGCTCTTAGGATTAATAAATTGAAAACAGGAAATTCTCTGGTGATCCACTGGTTAGGATTCTGCACTTTCATAGTCAAGGACCCAGGTTTGATCCCTGGTTGGGGAATCTCCAAGCCCTGTGATGTGGCCAAAAATAAATAAATAAAGAGCAAAAACTTTAGTGGGAGTGGGACATAAAAGAACATAAATAGGCAGCCATACCCTGTATATGGATGGAAAGGTAATATGTTATAAATATGTCAACTCATGTCAGTTTAAGCTTTGAATGTATTGCAAGTTGAATCAGAATCTCAGGATTTTACTAAGTATAGGAAACTTATTAAATATGATGCTTACATGTAGGAATTAATTACCTGAGAATAAATGAGCAAGGAAAATTTTAAATGTACAACATTCAAGATAGTCAAGTTTATTAGAAAACCATGTATATTTTAAAAACAATATAGTATTGGCAAAAGAACAGCAAAGAGGGAAATTGATTTCTAGGACATAGTAGACAGTCTACATGGAAGCTAAAGCATGTTCAAGAATTTGTTTATATACTAAAGTTATAGGGCAATGCTGTGTTTAAACAGATGGGAGGAAGCTGGTTATCTGCGGGGAGTGTTAGACCTCTACTTAACACTTTACACCAAAATGAATTCCAAGCAAATTAAGGATTTAAATATGGCAAATGATATCTTAAAAGCACCAAAATAGATTACTGGGTCAGTATCTTACAGTGAGGAATGACTGAAGTTCTTCTTTAAAGAAATTATTTTAAAAGTAATTTACAAATATAAAATGTGTCAAATGTTACAAAAATGAGTAATGTAGAATGTGAAGTCCTCTGTTAATTCATCTTGCCAATGCTGTAATGCTGTCCTGGCACAGTGAAGTCTTCTCTAAGCATGAAACCAAAACCCAGGATGAAAAAAAGAAATGGATTCTGTTGAGTACATTAAAAATTAGGGGGGAAATTGAAAGCACATTTTTTAAAAAGACTATGCAAATGACCAACCTAGACAGCATATTAAAAAGCAGAGTCATTACTTTGCCAACAGAGGTCCATCTAGTGAAAGCTGTAGATTTTCCAGTGGTCGTGTACGGATGTGAGAGCTGGACCGTAAAGAAAGCTGAGCACTGAAGAACTGAGGCTTTTGAACTGTGGTGTTGGAGAAGACTCTTGAGAGTCCCTTGGGCAGCAAGGAGATCCAACCAGTCCATCCTAAAGGAAATCAGTCCTGAATATTCATTGAAAGGACTGATACTGAAGGTGAAACTGCAATACTTTGGCCACCTGATAGGAAGAACTGACTCATTTGAAAAGACCCTGATGCTGAGAAAGATTGAAGGCAGGAGGAGAAGGGGACGATAGAGGATGAGATGGTTGAATGGCATCACCGACTCAAAGGACATGAGTTTGAGCAAGCTCCAGGAGTTGGTGATGGGCAGGGAGGCCTGGCATTTTGCAGT